GGATAGGCTACAAAATATTGAATTTAATTTTTTTTTAAATAAATTTTTCGTCAAATTTTGTTGATCATCATTATTTACAATTTTAATTGTATTTCGGTTTTTTTTTAACTGAGAATTTTATATACATGCTAAAAACATTAAAATTTATATACATGATCGTAAGAACCTAGGCTAAAAATTGATGTAAAAAAATTTTTTTTGTGCTATGTAAAATTTTGCGGAATTATCAAAAAGGTGCGTCCGGATACTTTCTTCCAGGTAGTGTATTTCCTACTTATTTCCTACTAACTCAAATCAAAAAAAGATGATTCATTAATTATTTAATCGTTATCACTGATTGATATTTATCTTTCTAAAGAAGCTGAACTGAACGATACAGAAGATCTGGAAGATCTGGAAGATCTTGGCGTGCCTTCATCATCATTCTTCTTGCTCTTTTTATTTCTAATTGCGTTTTCATTTCCCAAAGCCATTCTAACATGTTTAACCACGCGACCAATTCTTGCCCATGGGCAATTCTGTAAAACTTCCAATTGTTTGGTATCTATGTCCATATATGTGCCCCAATGTAAAACATATCTACGCCTTTTGCCTTTAACGGTTGACCAACATGATTCATTTTCACATAATAGACATCTGATTGCCAATATACGCCTGACGACATTTTCAGGACATCTACCTTTATATAATGATGCATATTCAGAAAATTCTTTCTTTTGGGATAAATCTTTGACATTTGATTCAAAACTGGCTATTTCTTTATTTGCATGAAAACCAGTAATGGCTACAACAGGTAAATAAGAGCCATTTTTTTGCAGACGGCCCTAATTACAATAAATAAATGTGGTGGTTGTGGTTAATATTGATATTGATTATGGAAATATTGGAAAAAAAATTTTTTTTTGTGTATTTACGAATTTATAATTTTTATAAAATTTTATTTTAAGAAGGAAAAAACAAGTGTGTTTAGCTTTTCTTTCTTTTAATTATTAAATGTTACCTTAAGATCGGGAGTACTACCAACAAGCGCTCTTTCTGTATTGGTATTGTAAATAATATAGACACACCAAGTTCCAGTTAAAGAATCCAGGTTATAAGTTTTTTTGTTACTCATTTTATATATTATTATTATGTAATATGTAGTGTTATGAGACAAAGGAGGAAAATGAAAATTTTTTTTTGTTTTTTTTGTTT